TTATGTATTTTTCTGTAGTGTCTAGATATGGGAGAACTGGTGAAATGAGTTATTTTAGTAATAAAATACAAGATTTGTAAAAAATAATCTAATAAGCGATAATTTTGGTAACATTTTTGGTCCATTGAAACAAACAGCCATAATTGCCTTGAAAAAAAATTTTGATTTTTTTTAAACAAATAAACCTAATATATAATCATAAAGGAAACATAAAATAGTATTAACGAAAATCTATACATTCATGTGAAAAAAACTGCAAGAGATCAAGTTGTCAAAAAAATTAAGTGGCACATTCCTTGCAAACTCTTGCCGTGCATTGTAAACATATCGGAATCTTGCACGTTATGCAAATATGAGTGGTTTTTCTTTCTTTTTTGGCAGGACATCTTTTGCACGTTGTTCTTTTATTTTCTTCAAATGGTAGGACTTCAAATGGAGTATCCATTTGAAGTATACGTTGCATAGAAAATCTGACGTCACGTGGCATATTCGAATTTTGGAACCTACGTTTCATTTCTTGCTGTACCAGCATCATTCCTAATTGTTTGTTGTAATCATAGCGATCCATTGTTTCATTATCTCGATATGCTTGGTGAGCGATAAACGAATTGACAGATGCTATGTCTAAAAGTCTGAAGAAAATGGCCATGGTCCAACGACGAGTTCTGCGACTAGATGAATAGATACTGCACTTCTGGTCTAAACTGTCTACACCTCCTTTTGTTAAATTATAATGCGCAATTATTTCTGGCTTGTTGGTCTTTGCATCATTTATTTGGTTATGGTGCATTGATGATACCAGCAAAACAGCTTTGTTCTTTTTTGGAACATGGGACAATAATGTTATATCACTTGTAAATCCATAAAGAGACGAGTCTATTTGCCTGTGCCTATTTGGTAAAAACGAAGGTGGAATTTCAGCTTTATTTTTTTTAAGTTCCCACAAATGTAAGCTTTTTGGTTTTCAAGACATTAACTAGTTGTATTGATGAAAACCAATTATCCGCTGTGATGTTGCGATTGGTATTAAAAAGAGGTTGTGCAAGCTTTAGCACTGCCTGTGTAGGTTTAGCATATTTTTTTAAGTCGTCACTAAGATCATAGCCATCAGAGTCTTTTCCACGGTATGTATATGCATTTTGGAGGTACCCGGTCCTCGCATCTGTTAATGCCATAATCTTGATCCCGTACTTAGCAGGTTTGGCAGGCATATACATTTTAAATCTGCATCTGCCTAGAAATGCAACTAGCATCTCATCTACACACACACATTTAGACCTGCAGTGTATACAATTTGACAGTTAAAAATAAATGCATTAAACACTTCTGATATAGCAGCTAACGGATCTTGTTTTAGCCGTTCGTTTCTGTTTTGGCAATTATCAAACCTTTCGACTTCTTTATTTGTACACTTACCTATTTCGTTCACAATTTTTTCGTCCACAAACAAACAAAAGGAATCAACAGGATTACCTACACTTTGACCAGGGGCTAACATTTCTTTGTGCTCTTTGTTTTTTATTATGTCGCAAGATCGCATACGTCCTGTAGGTTGGGGTTGACTCTTCCAGTTAATTCCATCTTTAGCTTTAAAAAGTAAACACTCGGAAATCTGGGAACTAGCTACACATTCTTCTTTATTATCACTCAGTACTACTTGCTGGTCATCCTCTTCATTTGATTCCGAAAGACGATCTTCAATTTTAGAGTCACTTTCAATACAGCAGATTCTTGTGCTGTACTATCTACTTTCACTGTAGTTCAATATAATTTTAGGAGCTTAGTTGTTGACACTAACATCGATATCAAACGACTGATAGAAGATGCATTATTTATTTTAAAATATGTATAAGTACCTACCTAAAATATTATTGCATTCCAACAATGATTATCAGTTTTTAAAATTCATTTAGAATAGATATAACACCTACTGTAAGCATCTCTTTGATGTTCACATCAAAGAGATGTTTACATTGTTTATTACACGTTTAGACTTTATTATTGAATTTCCGGAATTATAAAAGTCGTTTAGATAATCCACAAAAAATTACCTGACTGTCAGATTAGCTTCTGTAATGAAGATTTAGACTTTAGGTAAGATTCTTCTCTTCTTCTTCAGATGCAAATCCACTATGGATGTTAGCGATCACATTTTCCATTAATTCTCTATTTCTTGCAATATGTATCAGAGATTGTATGTCGTTAATCCCTGTCCATTGCCTTATGTTTCGGAGCCAGGACATTTTCTTGCGTCCCATTCCTCTCTTGCCTTCAATTTTACCCTCGATTATAAGTTGGAGGAACTGGTATTTTTCATTTCGCATGATGTGACCTAGATACGCCGTTTTCCTTTTCTTGATGGTTTCGAAAAGTTGGCGTTCTTGGTTTATTCTTTTAAGGACATCTATATTTGTGATTTTCGCTGTCCATGGTATTTTTAGGATACGGCGATAAAGCCACATTTCGAAAGCTTCTAATCTGTTTATATCCCTCGTTTTGAGTGTCCAGCCCTCTACGCCATATAGCAGCACTGACCATACGTAGCACTTAGTAAACCTTAGTCTCAGTTGAAGATCGAACTCTGAACAAGTCAGTACCTTCTTGAAATTTTACGAAAGCTTGTCGAGCTTGCTCAATGCGACATTTTACTTCCCTGTCCGATGCCCAGTCTTCAAAAAATCACGATCTCAGGTATTTAAATTTACTCACTCTTTCAATGGACTTAGTATTCAGTGTTATGGTGGAGTTTTCAAGTGCATCCAAGTTTCTGGAGATGATCATGAATTTGGTCTTTTTGGTATTAATCTCTAATCCCATTCGCTTACTGTATTCTCCGATTATAGTGACAAGTTGTTGAAGATCGACTATGTTGTCACAAATTAAGACACCATCATCAGCATATCGTATGTTGTTGATCAATACTCCATTCACTTGATTCCCATCTCTGCATCCTCCAAAGACTCTTGAAATATGGCTTCCGAATAAATGTTAAATAAAAGAGGGGAAAGCACACATCCCTGTCGAACGCCTCTTCTTATATGTATGGGTTTGGATATAGAATTGTCTATTTTTAACTGTGCCGTTTGATGCCAGTACAAGTTTTCAATGCATCTTATGTCTTTTTGGTCTATATCAACTTTCTTGAGAATCTGCATTAACTTGTGGTGTTGGACACGATCAAACGCTTTTTGGTAATCTAAAAAGCATAGGAACACATCCTTCCTCTGATCGTAACAATTTTGGACCAGCACCTGTGTTGCTACTATTGCTTCTCGTGTTCCTAAACCTTGCCTAAACCCGAACTGGGAATCACTGATGTCCCATTCACATTTTTTGTATAATCTTTGATGTAGTATTTTTAAGAATATCTTTAAAGTGTGACTCATCAGGCTAATGAGTCTGTGATCCTCACATCTTTTTGCATTGACTTTCTTGGGCAGGGGAATAAAGGTAGAGCGTAACCACTGTTGAGGATAGCAGCCAGTTTCATAAATTAATTTAAATATTTTGTGTAGTGCTGAAATTCCCATTTTATCTAGTAATTTGAGTATTTCTGACGGGATCTCATGGTCCAAGTGCCTTATTGTTTTTTTAAATTTAATATTGCCTTTTCCATCTTCTCTTTGGTGATTGAAGGGCCAGTCAGCTGGTCGTCTGTATAAACTTCACTCATGGGTCTTTCGTCATGGAAGAGCTCCTGGATGTAATTTTCCCATATATCAATTTTCTCCTTTTCACCCAGCACTATCTGGTTATCCTGATTAACTATGGTAGTTGGTCTTCGTTTTCTGTATATTCCAGCAGTCTCCTTAAGCTTTTTATGTAAATTACGGTCGTCGTGCTGTCGTTGTAAATGTTCTAGATCGATACATTGTTGCTTAAGCCATTCATTTTTTGCTATTCTTATTTTTGCTTTTATTTGCCTGTTAATGTTTTCATACATATTGCTGCCATCTTAGTTATTCTTGTGTCTTCGTCGTTCTTCCGTTAGTAATAATATTTCTTCTGTCATCCATTTTTGCCTCTTGTTATTTCGTTTGTACCCTAAGTTGTTTTTCATGATGTCTGTTACAGCACTTGTAATCGTATTCCATGTTGGTGTTAGATCTTCGGTAATGTTTGTCGTCAATATTTGAATTTGTGCGTTTATTTGATTGCTTATTTCTGCTTGTATCATTGGGTCTTTCACTTTATCCAGTGCTATCTGTTGTTGAGTTTCAGGCTTTTTCTTGCATGAAAGAGCGATCTTTATCACGGCCACTAATAGTACGTGGTCAAAAGGGACATCTGCTCCAGGGTATATGCAAGCTCTTTTGACAGTTGTGCTGAATCTACCGTTGATAAGAATGAAATCTATTTGATTTCTTATTATGTTCTGAGCTCTATCGGCTGGAGAATTCCAAGTATAAAGGCGACGTGGGTGGAGTTGAAACCATGTGTTGGTAACTCTCATGTTTTCTTCTTGACAAAATTGTATAAGTCGGTCGCCCTTTTCGTTCCTTAGGTAAGATTAGACTTTAAAAATGATAATGAATATTCTGAATAGCTCATGACTGACTATATTAAAGGAAACGTACTTCAGTGATGCATAAAATTCTTTTAAAAATTTTTAATCAGTTTTAATGATAAAAGAATTGGTATCTCTGGCCCGTTGGACTCACCTTGCCTGGATAAGGGTTAACAATACACAACAAAATAGCTTTACAACAACAAATAATTTTCCCTTGTGTGTTAAAACGATGCATAAGCCTCTGAAGATCATCTTCGTCTTCCGCTATTAGAGTAGTATCGTCTGCGTTACATAGGAATTTCAATTCTGTAATTCCCCATTGTATATCCTTTCCCTTTATGGATTTTCGTTATTGTTGTATGCTTATTACACATACTTAATACACATTACATAATTAATACACATACTTGGGTCATAAAATTAGAATAACCAGAGACAACCAAACCTGCGAGCTAAATAGACGAATCAAGTTGGGATGGGCGGCATATGGAAGGATGAGAGATATTTTTAAAACAAAATCCCAATTCACCTGAAAAGGAAGGCATTTAACCAATGCATCTTACCAGTCTTGACCTATGGAGCAAAGACCCTAACTTTAACGAAAGCTACTGCCAAAAAACGGTAACACAAAGGCGAATGGAGAGATCAATGCTGGGCCTGACCTTGAAAGATCGCGTGAGAAATGAGGAGATACGCCGACGAACTGGCGTAGACGATATTATACTGCGAATCAATAAACAAAAGTGGAGGTGGGCTGGACATGTTGCTAGAATGGAAGACGGAAGATGGACGAAGAGATTATTGGAGTGGAGACCAAGAGCCGACAAGCGAAGTCGAGGCAGACCACCCACCCGATGGACCGACGACCTAAGGAGAATAGAAACAAACTGGATTGCAGCAGCTAGAGATAGAGAGAACTGGAGACGTTTGGAGGAGGCCTATATCCAACAATGGATGTGAAATTGGGGTTGGATGATAATGATAATGTAATGTAAGACTATTCATTTTTTTATTTACCTCTTTGATGATCAATTTCAGAATTGTATTTAGAAGATTGATGTTTTTATACTTATAAAGATCCTGCTTACCTTCTATCTTAAGCATATCCAACATACTTAATCTTCTGCTACCTTGAATTCTACATCCAAATTCAGTATTGAAATTAAATAGCAATATTCCTTTTGTTATACACTTTTTAATAAAAAAATGTATAAAAACCATTTTATCTTCTAAACTGAAAAGCCAAACGGCACTAGTAGAAAAAAGATCTCCACTGTAAGAATAAAATATGTCTTTTGAAGGATCCATATTTTATGTAAATCTTAACTTCTTACGTTTCATATTCAATTTTTGGCGAATATCTTTTTTATGTATCCCTTTCAGCGGAAAACCAGAAAAATAAGATCCGACGGGGTAAACGCTGAATTTATGGATGAGGAAATAAGAGCAATGTCCCAAATGGCCCTTACACGCTCACTCAAACAGTGGCAAATGTATGGGGGCCAATGAAATAGCAAATCCCCCAAGAATTTTATCTAACGAGCCTCAGAAAATCCCGAAAACTATCTGGGGGAGTAGCTATTTCCGTCATGTATTTGATCGTTATTGGGTTTATTTGATAATAACAGAAATTGGAGAGGATAGAAAAGGTATCAAATGGGAATATCAATTTAAGATATAGTAATGGTTTTATCCTATCAATAAAAAGTCTCACAAAGAGTAATTGTTGTTGGTTGTTTTAATGCTTTATAAAGTAAATATATGTTTTTTAAGCAAATCGGTATTACTTGTAATGACATTAAATTATTAATTTAATATACAAATTATATATTTTTTAATATCCAAATAAACAAAAAATTTAATAATTGATGGATTCGACCGTTACTTGATGGAAATTCATTTTATGTAAGAATAAAACACTGAAAACTTTGTTTTTAAACTTCCACAAAATTTATTTTAACTATTATCACTACAGCGGTTTCGGCTGATTGCCTTTCTCAATAGATTTATAAATTTAACAGATACTAAATTTAGTAATAGCGAGATACAACTTTTAGAGAAAGGATTTAAACACAACTTGCCCCAACATAATAATGAGAGAACTTTAGAATATTTAGGTGTAGAATGTGAAGTAGCGTTAAACAAAACTGCTGACAATATCGAAAAAAGTATAATTGCTAAATCTATTACAGATGTGTGTAGTGAAACTAAGAATTCCTGTTACAAAGAGAATAAAACAGCAATTTCAATTAAAAATAAATCAATAGAAAACAACATTGTGTTTACAAAAGCAGACAAAGGCAACACTACTATTGCTAAAAATAAAATAGAATATAATAACAAAACAATAGAATTCTTAAATAATCAAAATATTGAAACTTTACACAAAGATCCGACAGAAAAATATCAAAAACAAATTAAGCTAGCGTTAGAAAATTCAAAATCAATAGTAAATCCAATAGAACATAAATACCTTAATATCATGAACCCACAGCCTCCTAAATTATACTCTTTCATTAAACTACACAAACCGGATCACCCAATAAGACCTGTAGTTTCTTTTTATACAGCTCCATCATATAAACTTAAAAAAAACTGTTAGAGATTATTTTAGAACACACTAAATTTTCACCTAAATTTACCATAAAAAATACAATAGAACTAGTTAATAAAATACAACATTTTCCATTACCTAACAACTCCAGATTAATTTCATTTGACGTAAAAAATCTTTTTCCTAGTATCCCTCCTACAGAAACTACAGAAAACCAGGACTACTTTGAATTTAATAATCAAATATATACAAATAACAGTGCAGGACTTATAATGGGCCATCCTCTAAGCCCATTACTATCAGATATTTTTATGGACCATCTAGAGACAAACATTTCAAAACATCCCGTATTCAAACAATTTCTATATTGGTGGAGATACGTAGACGACGTACTGGTATGTTTCACAGGAACTAACAGGCAACTCGACCAATTTTTATCGTATATTAATTCACTTCATAGTCATATTGAATTTACAATAGAAACAGAACAAAATCAATCCATAAATTTTTTAGATATAAAAATTATCAGACTTAAAAACAAACATGACTTCTCCATATTTCATAAACCTACACATACTGACACGACTATACACAATTCATCATCCCATCCAACACAACATAAACTGGCAGCTTATCATAGTATGTTACATAGATTAACAGAAATTCCGATGTCAAAATACAACTTTGAGACAGAATTAAATATAATTAAGCAAATAGCAGTAAACAACGGATACAACGAACAAACAATTAATAAAATGTTAAATCAAAAACTACACAAGAAAGCCCTGAAATTAGTATTTCCACCACCAGAGAAAAAACCCAGTACCTTCTGCTCGATTACATATACAGGCAAAATAACAACAAAAATAGCCAAACACATAAAAAAGAAAGGAATAACACCAGCTTTCCGAACAAATAACAACCTAGGCAAATATATTAAAAATAACAAGAGCCAAAATAAAAAACACTTAAATAGTGGTGTGTACAAACTTCAATGTGGCGACTGCCCAAAAACTTACATCGGTCAAACTGGTAGAAACTTTAATAAACGAATAGCAGAACATAAAAGGGCTTTCAATAATAGAAAAACAGATTCGACATACGCACTTCACCTTCTAGATCATAATCATTCTTTTAATGACAAATTTAAAATTCTTCACATTCAAAATAAAGGCCTTAAGCTATCTTTGTTAGAATCTATGGAAATCAACAAATTAAAAAACACAGATATAATTCTGAATGACCAACTTGAGACAAACAGTTCTCCCCTCCTCAACCTATTTCATTAGAGACTATAAATTGTAAACGCATGCCAAAAATAGATCACTTGAGAAAGGCAATCAGCCGAAACAGCTGTAGTGATAATAGTTAAAATAAATTTTGTAGAAGTTTGAAAACAAAGTTTTCAGTGTTTTATTGTTACAAAAAATTTAATAGTTAGAATAACTAACCTGTAATAATTTTATCTAAAGGTAGGTAAATAACTATATCAGTTAAAATTTAACAGTTGTTGGGAACACTGGGAAATATTTGTCACTTAGTTCATTAACTCTGATTCAGACATCAGACATCAGAATCAGTAAATGATTTCACAAAATACACTAATTTTGAGATACAAGGTTTTGACATCTGAACGACCATATAATACATTATTATATTATTGTAATTTACGAACTCTGCAGTAATTTTCCCAGAACTCAACAAAATATCATTAAAAAAACTAGTACAAAACATCGACCGGTAATTAGTATTCACGAAAAGCTTTACCTTCTTGCAACATTTTTGTACTGCACCACACATCACGCATATTTTTTTGGTTTCAGCGATTTAAACTAATACGTTGGGGAAGGTTACACCTTTCATAGACGGGATTTGTTTGTATAAATTGAGGTCCGATTACAATGAGAGTATCAGTTGTATTTTACGAAGTAATAACAAACTATCAAACATAATCATCATGATGTTCAAACTAGTGAGTATATACAAGTAAATTATAATATTTTACAAATTTAATAACTACAAATAAAGTTTTGTAATATTTTTTTATTGTTTCGCATTGACCTATAGTTAGCTTTTGCTTTAAGAGCAAAGCTAATGGTAGCTTTGCTTTAATAACACATTTTATTTCTTCTTTTTGGTATTTCTATTCTAATATTAATATAAGCCTTTGCTTTTCTTTCCTATCTGGTCCTTTATTTCTTTTGCGTTCTCTACATTAGATCTGCTGTTTGATTACAATCATCATCATTATGGTTTTATTATAAGTATATTTTATATTTGTTCCACTGTTGATCTATATTATTTCCGACACATCTTCTGCATTAGAGATAAGTAATTTATTTCCATTCTGTAATTTAATTTTTAGTCTCCATAACTTAATTTTAGTAAACTAAAATAAATTACTATAAAAAAGTCTTAGAAAATGTCTTTAAAGAAGTTTGCTATCCGACAAAAGCTATTTTAATAACAAAACATTCAAAATTTGTATATGCACATTTTACAACCAATAAATATATATATTTTTGTATTTTTTCAGTGTTTTGTCGCTGCCCTCTTGGCTTTCTCTGCTGCTGAACCTAAAGCTGACCCAAAACCAGCACCAAAGCCACAAGTCTTAGCCGCATACGCCGCCGCTCCAGTTGCCTACACTTCAGCCTATCCTGCTGCTCCTCTTGCCTATTCAAACTATGTAGCACCTGCTGTTTATTCTAGTGCATACTCTGTGTATTCTCCGTACGCAGCTGCCTACTATTATTAAGTTTAATTTATGATGGAAAGAAGAATTAACTGGTGCAATAAATTATTTTTGAAAATTAATTGTTTTTTTTATTTTTCTATTGATTTGTTTATGTTTATGAAAAAGACAAATAATCAACAAAATCATTGATTACAACATAACTTCATTATCTATCTTACAACCAACTAACCAGAAAACTCATGTTGCCAATGAAAAAACCTCTGAGAAAGATAAAATACTTGGTTGTACTCTTGTGGAGGCAACCTACCACCACATATATGACGCTGCTACATATATTAGAAGTAATAGTGGTCAGTAGTCAGTATTTTTAGTATCAACAGATCTTTAATATTATACAGTTTTCATTTAGTCACAATTAAAGTAGAGGAACAATTGATAATAGATATATAAATCTCCAGGTGAATCATGGCCGGATCCATCATTTACTGTGTATATGGAGTTAACAACCACCATAAAGCCTGAAACTATGCCTCCAATGACGACCCAGGTAACTCTCTATATGACTAGATTTAACGCAATAACCTTTAGCAGGTCTTTGTTACCTAGGATAAAGGCAATTTTAGATCAGCTACCCGAAGAAAATATTTCGTGCTAAAAAGTACAGTAACAAGTAACACCGACCTGTGGTCTTAACCCTATAATGCGCGATTTTTTGTATTGTAATAAAAAAAATATTTTTAACTGCATTAGGGTATAAACTTATGCCTAAAAATAGTAAAAAAATCTAACTTTCAAAAAAACATTAATTTTTTGAAAAATCTTGTTGTATCATATATGATACATAGCGGAAATTTTTACAAAACAAATTTTATTACATTATTAATAAGTATAATATGTTACAATAACTAAATATCTAAGTTGAATGGAATTTATGAAAACAATTATTATTTTTGTTCAGGCAAAGATATAGTCCACATTTTGAACATTGAATATACGAAAAAGAAGTACACTTGGGCATCTTGCATCTCTGTCTTGTGTCTTTGTACAATGGCCAGTGTGAGTGACCATCAAGCCTTACGTCTTTTGGAGGAATATACGTTGTTGTTGCTGACCTTTTCTTTTTTTCGGCTATTTCTTTTTCAAGATCTGATGGCCTTCCTCTCTTCACCAAACGATTACTTCCAACG